TGAGTCATCAGCTACGAAAGAATTAATAAGGAAACTTATACAAATAAGATAACTAATTTTAAAAGCTATCATGAAGTTTACTGTTAAAAATACTGGAAATTTGATGCAAATTAAGTGTAAAATTAGGCATTGAAATTAACGTAGCTGGTACTGAATCTTATTGAAGATACTTTTACATGAAGTCTTTATTAAAAGTTATCAATTCTGATTTTTTTCCCATAAAAAACGAAATCATTTTTTTCATACTGTTTTTTTACTATAAAAAAATATAAAAATCCAATCATAACTAAAACCAGTCTCTACCGCTAGATGGCGAATATATTTTTCTGTAAATCTACAAGTGGTAAAGTCAAAATAATTTTGTATAAAAGAAGCATCATTGGAAAAAAATCAATCAAGTTTTGATAAACAACAACGCCATTGGTAAGAAACTCGTTGTAATGATATTCATTACTGAACACAACTTATATTAATAATTTTATTCAATTCAAAAATACAAATTTAGTATAATTTACGTTTTATAATAGAAATCTAGAAAATGAAAAAAAACTATACAAAACTTGATGTAAACAAACCAAATAAAATTTAAAGATTTTAATATGAAACCTAATAAGATGTGAGTCATGAAAATATTTTTACAGTTTAGTTCAGATCACATTAATTCAAATGCTTGTACATGAAATTGAATTTTTCCTATCCTTCTGCAAAGAAAAAAACTTTCTCTACTTTTACATTATATTTAATATAAGTATTTTCAACATTATAGCAAAGAAGCCAACATTTTTTAGCTAATGATTTTTTATCAAAACCTTTTCGGTTTCTATTTGTGGAAGTTGTAAAGAAAAGCAAAGTTTTAACATCAACGTCGTGGAAGTAGGTTAACTTTTGTGGCAAGTGTTAATTTAACGGGTTAAAGGATATTTCAGCTATTTTATGCTGCGCATTCATCAGTAACTTTTTTTTGCGACGAAAATAAATAATATTTTTTTTTATAAATGCCCGGGAAAAAACGGAAATCTCAATCGCTGTAAACATCGTCCAAAGTGAGCTCGCATCAATCGCGGGTCAAATTAACCAAAGTGAAGGCTGCTGCAGCGAAACAAATGTAATTGGAAATGGACATCGATTCAATATCTCGTTATAGTTGTTTTATAGCCCAGAACATTTTTTACATGCTTGATGCGAATGTACACGTTCATGAATAAAAAAAGAGTAGCTGCATTTTAAACAATTGATTGACCCGTAAATCCAAATAGCAAGGTAAATGAACGAGGCAGGGGTCTGCTCGTAAAAATTCAATTGGGACGATGAAAATGGTGATTGAGTATTTGACTAAATAATAAGCGAGCTATATAGATAAATGATAAAAAAACATATTACGGTACTATAATGAATTTTCCGTGGAGCTTGCGCGCATACTCGTTCACTGAAAGGAGCAACAAAAATGTTTCATTATACCGCTGAAAGCTAAAAGCTCATTCCCGTAAGAGCTAACTCGATGAATCAAAAAACAGGAGGGATAGATCCATCACCCTCGTGGCATCGTATCGCAGTATAATACCAACTTCTCAATTAGCGACTGCAGCTAGTGAGAGAGCGAGTAAGAGAGAATCAGGCCAAATCAGAATGCATGTGTGTGTGTGTGTGAGTGTGTACTGCGTGCGAACGAGCGAATGATTTATATCCGAGGGACAAATGACGACGCCGATGACGCGCCCAGTCGGACAAGCAATAGCAGCTTCCACACGGATTCTTGCCGCATTGCACCGCGACCGAGACTCGTCCCGTGAATTGATTGCCACGATAGACGCGCGCGCCTCCCTCTGTGGTATAAAAGGTTTCTTTTTGCTTTTTTTCACCGACACCCAATTTAGGTCGTATTTTTAAAGTCCGTTTGCTAGGCTCCTCCTTTCTTTTGCAATATCAAAAGCACGAAAAGTAAATCGTTAAACAGTGGCACGAAATGTTTTCGTAAAAATAAAACTTCTCAGCCAGAATTAAAAGCTTTAGCCGAGTATTTTGTATGGGATTTCCTGGCCGTGCCAAGGAGAAACTTTACGTCTTACGTGTCTAGGGCGCATGTTTTTTCCCTTTTTTTTTTCTTTTTTTTGAGAAGCCAGTGCTGTAAGTCCGATTTTACAAGCCGCAAGGTTTAGCCAAGATTTCGCGAACTTTTACCAAGCGAGCACAGTGTGTCATAAGTTTGTTTCTTAATTTTTACGCGTCAACGAATGAAGAGCAGTGTCGCGCGCAGAGGCACGCAACAAGCAATTACAAAGCCAAAGCTCAGGTAAGCGTGTGCGGCGCTGCACACGAATAGGTGCGCTCTACACAAGTCGGAGAACCATCGATTTCCCTTGCTCCGAGGCGCGCGGCCCATCCGTGCGCAAACACAGACGCAACCGCACTTCAATCTGTGTGCAAGCTCGTGTATATGTATGTATGCGTGCGTGTCATTGTGCCCCATCTTGCTCGTGTCGTACTGCGATCACTATACCTGATTCCCACTTATAACGCTTGAACAGTTTCAATATGTGTGCGTATATATAGGCGCGTGCGTGTGTATACACGAGGGAAAATCCTCGTTACATGCTCCGGGGGTGTGATCATGATTACTCAGCACACATATGGAAAGCGAGTGAGAGAGAGAAAGAGAGAGAGGCAGAGGAGTGCACGGTAGATTAGCCAAGCATTTTGAGTTGGAGTGTAAAACGAGCCTCTTCGTGTACGCACGTGCGTGTGTTGGTGTGTAGGCGCGAGTATATGTACATTCGATGCAGTCGAGCCTCGAGTGTATCGCCCGCACCCCCACGCTCAGCCTCTCTCGCCGCGCAACGAGCCTTTTGTTATCCAAGAGGAACACGTACTCCCACTTTCCGAGCGTTGGCAGAGAGGCCGAGGCCTATATGAGCTGCGCTGCTGCAGCTACACACACAGCTGCTTTTTCGTTGACGCTGCTGAAAATGCAAATTTTTCATTTTCTTAATGCGCCCGCTCGTCGTGCTCCTACTGCTACGGCTTTTTTCCTCGAATTTTTGTTTATTTTGACGACGCTGCAAAACCCGTGCCGCGTATAAATAATATTCCGCCGACGTACGGGGAAGAAACTTTGACGGAGAACAAACGAGCTTAAAAAAATAACAAACCAAATTCAATGCGGTAGCGAAAGTTTGCCTTCGTATTATATGGCCAGGGCAAACAAGCGACCTGACACACATTTGTACGGGGCTCGGAAAAAAGATTTTACATTATAAGAACAAAAGTAATAAGGAATCCTTGGTGTGTGTGTGTATACGTGCACTCGTGCGGCCAACAACATATTATATAAACCTTGAATGCGCGGCCGCGGCCATCGAGGCAATATCAACGAGCGTAATTGGATTATTTTGCTAATAGATTTTTTACGCACCGACATTTTAGCTCTTCGGAATTCCCGATCCTTGTTGTACGTACACGTACACGTATATGCAGCAGCGTCGAACAAAAACAAATTTTTTACTGCTCAAACTTTTGCTGCGAGGGCTGATCTCATGAAAGCAGCTTTTATTGTACTGCGGAATTCCCCGATTAATATGTGCCTTTTTAATACACATTCAAAGCGTATACTGGAATTTCCTTAATACGAGTCGATACAATTCACCGTGCACAAGAGGGCTGCATTCAGCTCGATTTTTCATTGTGTAATAATTGCCAAAATATTCCTCGGCGAATATGGAACATCGATTTCTATTCAGCCCCGGCGCACAAATTGAAGATGATAAGCGATTTATAATCGAACGCGATTTGCCTTGCAAAATACCCTCGACGATCGACTGTATTACACGAATTCATCCATTTCTACATTTTTTTTTCGTCGCTCGCGTACATATATTGACGACGCGATATATAGCACGCACATAGCTGCGAGTAAATTTTGCCACGCTTACTCAAGCTCCGGGTCATTGTGTTGCGCTGACCGTACGGACGCCCGCTGGCTTACGCTTATGCAGCAGTTGATTTTTCATCCCTCTTTATATTTTTATATAATATATTTTATTCCGGTTTTTTCACTCCTACGAATCTTTTCTGCAGTATGCATGAATTTTTTTCCTCCCTTCCCTTTTTGTCGTTATTTGTTTGGCTCTCTTTTCAGTGATATTTTTCAGTACAATATATTTGCCCGGTATGTGTTGGCTGAAATCGATATGTATATATGTATATCAGAGTAATATTATTGAAAAGTGATGGTACATTGCGAGCGTAAGGGCAGAGAAAGAGGAAAAGAGAGAAAAAGCTAGTAATATTGAAAATGGATAATTCGATGTTAGCTATATAATTGAAGAAGGAGCTTGGGGGAGGGGGATGCTTCTAACGTTTTTATATCCGAGCTTTTCGTTAGATTTTAACGGATTGAATACGTGTCCTATTGAAATTTCAGAAGAGCTAACAAATCTCTCTCTCCGAGTAACGTTACATTTGGCTTCGTTATTTTTCTAACAAAATAAACACGCGAGTGCATTACATGGCTTTTGCATTATAAACATATCTTTTGGATTAAAGTTGATAAAAAAAAGGTTCGGTCGAGTCTGGAACAAGAGTCGAGAAAAGTAGCTTTTAAAGAGTAGTTAAAAAAAACATGCAGAGGCGATAGAGGACATTTACGCTAGGGGATGTAGGTTGCATGTATGTGTGTGTATACGTGTAAACCGAAAACCACGAGAAACAAATGTTGCTCTCGAGCTACTCGAGACAATTTATACGCGATAATAAAGCGCATTAACGTGCTTGTTCTAACGATATATCAGCCGGCCGCACGACTGACTCGGGTAATTTACTATTCCAGTCCATATTAAGTACATATTAGCTGGCGCGCGGCGGGCGCACCTCGTTATACATGGCCTTATATGTGCAGGCGTGCAGAAAGAGAAGGAAAAACGCGTCGGAGTGCTCGAGCATGCATCGATAATTCCGTAAGACTGGGACAATGATTTTTTAATCGATCTATGCTTTTATATTTCCAGGTGTGAGCACGAGATCGCACTCACTGGTGAAGCGCTACGGCGGACTGTACACGGGCCCTTACATCGACGCGCAGAACGTGACCAACGTCACCGTGCAAATGGGCACCCACGCCTACCTGCCCTGCAAGGTTCGACAGATTGGCAACAAGTCGGTGAGTATAATGTGTGTAGAGGCACCTGCACCACTACACGAAACGCGATTACGCCCGAAGGACTCGAATCTCGCACGCGCATCGCGCAACAATCGCACTATACGTATACGGAGAGTGGAGGAGGCTGCGGGGCTGCACTCGTCCCGGCGAATATAAATTCAAAAGTAATACTTTGCTATATATGTGCGCGTGACGCGACGCAATGACATGTATTAAAAACACTGACAACGGATACGTGTGTAGCGTATATAAAAGTTTTGTTACGACCATTGCGAAGTTATGTAAAAAAGTTATATTTCCCCGAGTCGCGGCGCTCACTTTTTTATTTTTTACGACTCGTTTTCGCCTGTTCCGCACCTACGTATACACGTACTCGCTCGCTCTCTCCCTGTACCCCGGGCTCATGGCAAAAAATTTAACGCGACGAGAGCTGTATTTTATTTCAACGAGTTTCGAGGAGCAGTATCGTTACGGCGGATTCGTCTTCTTTTTCCTTTTTCTTCCTCTTTTTCACCTCCCTCTTTTTCATGAATTTTGATTCTCGTCGAAAAAATTGTAATAAAGTTAAATGATAATTTATCAAATTGCGCGCGAGCACATAAAAAGCCAGCTCGACTATTGAAATTAATTTTTATTACGGCACGACAAAACGCGAATCGAGGAATTTTTAACTCGTCAAACGAATGCAGAAAAATATCATTTCCGAGGAAAGTAAATGGAAAAAATGTCGTTTAGCTGGATAAAAAAAGTATTCACTTGGCGAGTGCGTGCGGGCGAAAGGACTTTACGATATCGAGTCGTCCAGCGTGTGCGTTTTCTCCCATCTCGCTTATATCTCGCGCTTCTTACATGCTCATTTGCGCAAATGACTTTCGGTATGTTTATTGGCGCGCGCGCGCGAATTGCGCTTTTGTGCGGCTCGTATTTATGCCCCGCGTAACTTTCGCGACGCTCGCTCGTTCCCTAGTTTTGCTTTCAAATGGATTAAAAAGTTGGCTTTGTGTGCGATATTAGCATGAAATTCGCTCAGCAGTATTCGAACTTTATTTGCGGCTCGTGTAATATTCGCGATTGTGAAACTTTTTTTTTCGGCTAATTATCTCGCGTTTTGCAACTGTGTACAAGCTCATTTTTAAGCCTCTTGTCACGTATAATGACTTGCTAATAAATTTCAACTCAACGCCAGGCGATAATTGAAAGCTCCACTCGCGAGAGCTCGAGGCTCGGTCGTTTGAGCCGGAAATTCGACACAAAAGATCGAAGCAAAGTTTTTGGAATATTATTTATTCGTTCGACAAGACAAATTATGCCCTCTTGCTTACTGTCAAAGGAAATCTGAATACATTACGCTCGGCTAAAGTTTCAATAGCGAAAATCCCGCAGGGCCTCCGTGGGCGCGGCAAAAGCTCTTTGATTGCACTAGACTTCAACGCACACACACACACACTCGCAATGTATACACGCACTCGAAGCACATAAATCGAAAACTACGCTTTGCAGAGTCGTCAGTCGCTTTATTTGCATATAAAAATCAACAAGTACTTTTGTCCGCCGCCCACGCAGCTGCGCGCGTAAATATCCCATTCTTTTTTCTTCGAGCCGAGTACGCAACAGTCGACTGAAAAAAACCCGGTCGATTTTCTTTGGTCATATGCAAACGTCGATGTAGTCTTTATTGAAGTCGAATGGCAACAAACGTAACGTGGTTCTTACATGTGTGCTGTAACAACAATAAGAAAAACAAGGGGGCCTCGGAGCGTGGCTCGCTGCATCCGACAATTGGACAAGACGACAATATTCGCTTGAAACCGTGGCAAACGCGTTCCATTGTCGACAGTTTCGCTTTTCAAGCGCTTTGCCTCTTTTTTATTATTATTTTTTTTTTGGGTGGAGGTAACTTTGCTCAACAGGTAGAAAAAAGCGACTGGATTGCGCGCTTGAATTCCTCTTGGGCAGAGAACAAGCCAAAAAATAAAGCTAGCTGGGGGGAAAAAAGCTGCATCCCACTTCAAAGTCTTAATATAATGCAGGGGAGCATGACAAAAACAGAAAAATGCAGGCGAATGCGAGGAGAGAGACGAGAGGCCCCGCAGCTGTACACCAGCTCGCAGTTCGCACCCGAGAGCACAGGCTGTAAACGCGCGCGTCGAGTCTCTCATTTTTTCGTCGAGGGTCGCGTAAACACATTCATTTAAGCGCTATTATCCTTGGCAGCTGAATGTTAATCGGATACCGTACGCGTCATTGCGGGCGGCGCGCGTGGCTCGCTCAAGATCGATTTGAATAGTCGAGTGGTCGTTTGGTCGTACACGGTATATAGTTGCTAGCGAGCTCAGCTCTATACGATATCGAATTAAATCCGGCCAAAGTCTCGCTCGTTCGGGGCGAAAGGCTATAAGGTATACATACACATAAGCGCATTGAGCATGGCTAAAGTTGCTTGGAAACTTTGTTTGCCTCTGCCCCTTGGCCGAACGGACGAACGGACGAATCGACGACGCAGGTTTCATGGGTGCGGACGAAAGACACTCACATACTGTCGGTCGACCGGACGGTATTCATCGCCGACGAGAGGTTCCAGTCGCAGTTCTACGACCAGACCAACACGTGGACGCTGCTGGTAAAATATGCCCAACCGCACGACGAGGGCGAGTACGAGTGCCAGATCTCCATGGAGCCCAAGCTCAGCCACATAGTGAATCTCGTGGTGGTCGGTGCGTATATTGATTCGTACTACTTGTTATACGACTTGGCGATCGCAGCCCGCAGCAGCTGGCGCCAGCTATAGCGAGAGCAGAGCTCGAGGATTAATTTTGCACTCGTTGGATTTAATTTGTCTTGGGCAGTTCCGAAAATCGAGATACTGGGCGACAAGGACCGCTACGTGAAGACGGGCAGCACGGTGATGCTGCAGTGCGTCGTAAAGAACTCGCTCGAGATACCCTTCTACGTGTTCTGGTATCATCACGAGCGCCAGCTGCAGGAGCGCCGGGGCAAGATGTCCATACAGACGAAGCTGATCGACGGCACGAACGACACGTCGAGCAATCTCACCATCTATTACGCCGGCCCGGAGGACTCGGGCAATTACACCTGTCGGCCGAGCAATCTCGAGGCCATCAGCGTGCAGCTGCACGTACTCAATGGTCAGCAAGCCATGCCCACACTTTTACACATCCCTATTCTCGATTTCATATTATTGTAATTGGCTATATCGTTTGCTTTGCATGTCTGTTTGCGCAGGTGAGCATCCGGCGGCGATCCAGCGGGGAGTGAGCTCGGTGCCGGGCTGCTGTCGGCTCTTCTGCTGGCTGGCGAGCGCCCTGAGCCTGTCGGCGAGCGAGAGCGAACGCGTCCGGATCTGCGGCCTGATACTGCTGGGCCTGGCGGTGGCGACGACCCAGACCTATTTGCCGAGCGCCCGATGAACGGCCCTGCCGAGCTGCGCGTCACGACGACATCGCCGGCGTCGACCGGCGGCCCACGCTGGAGCTGGCGCACATTATAAATAATATACATAACGATTGCGAGAGAGCGAGAGGATTGAGAGAAGATCGATGGGAATTATCTGCTGCGGTGTATACCGCGAATTCATTATTCGTTCGAACGAGACTCGTGGATTTACGTAGCTGCTGTATTGGCGCAGGCGTGCACTGGAAAAGACGCGACGATACGTACACGGCATTCGCTTGATTTTCGACGAGGGAGGACAATCGCGAGTGATCAGTAAGAGGTCATCGTGCTCGGGGCTCGTCCGAGAGCAGCTCGACGCGACAGTCTCGTTCTACCTGAAAATTCAGTGTATCGCGCAGCTTATCGGGCACGCGCTTCTGCGATACTCGTTGATTTGCACACGCACTGATCGATCACCTATTAATAATTTCCATACCTGCGCCGTGAAACTGCCAACTTACATCGGCACGAGTTAGTTGGCTTTGTTTTGAATGTTATATCGAGCTGCTATCACTATCGACGTCTAACTGCGATCCTCCCTCGAAGATTATCCAAGAGAATCGCGTATCATATACGTTTATAGCTCGAAGAAAGTACCACCGACTACGTAACTAACACTCGGTTATATTTTCTTCTATTCTACTCGCATTACAAAAAAGGAGAGAAACGAGAAACTTCGGCGGAACGATGAGAGAAGAGAGAGGCAGAAAGAGAGCGAAAAAAGTATATATGCGCCCTGTAGGCGAGTGAATTTGTTCTTTCACGAGCCGCTTTACGCTCGACTACGCGCTCGACTGATTTATTATATATAGGTATAAAAGTGTGTAGCAAAAAAAAGATATCTTCGATGAAATACGACTCTTGCTTTATACACACACATATATATACACGGGACGCATATTTTGGCAGGCAGCCAACGAAACTGTGGCAGTCAAATTTTGCGAGCTGATGCGCGCGCGCAAACACGTACACGTACCCACACACTCGAGTCTTATACATGCACACCAAATATTATCATACACGCGATTTGAAGTAAATTTTTTGACATTATAGCATTTGATTTCGTGTCATCGCTGCGCTCTCGTCTTCTGTCTTTCTCTCTCTGCATGTGTGATACAGCGCGAATAAACGAAACTCGCGAGTTTTTGCCTGCGCGAGAGTCGTATTTAGCTTATCTTTTGCCTGCCTTTTTTCCGGTGCACGCGCGCCTAAGTGTGTCTTCGGGAAGACGATGATCTTCCGTCGACACATCATATAAATGTACATGCGAGTCATTTGCAAGAGAGCACAAAAAGAGAGAGGGTAGAAAAAAACGGTTAGAAAAAAAGTATATACGTAACGACACATAGGTATTGTGTATATGAAGGAGAAAAAAAAGGATAAGCTGGAAGAAAAATCTTCATCTCGAGACAGTCTTATATTTGTATGTAAAAAATGCGATCCGGCCGTTTAGTCTGAAAAAAAAACAAGTCAAGTTTATAGTCGTTGAACTCGCAGTACTAGACGACGAACATTGTGCCCGTGGTACCCGCCGCCTATATTCAGATTGCCTATATATATAATACCCCGCAGCCGGAGGGGAAAAAAGTAAAGTGCGCAGAATGGAAAATTAAAATATCGACCTAACGAAATAGAAAGGAGTTAATGAAGCTCCATCGGTCAATTATTATAATGACTCGAGTAAGCCAAGGTGGAGCGCGCGAGGCGTTTATAATCGAGCGACACCCAATCATTTGTGCCGTGAAAGCAATTATCGACGCAACGCGCGCGAAAGCAAGTAAAAATATCTCCATTGAGAAATTATCAGCTACGGCCCTTTCATTAACATTCCTCGCACTCTTGGCCGCCGCCGCCGACGCCGCGACGCGCGTGTACAATATAGCTAGCGTTTTTTTTTTCTTAATTAAAAAAGCACGAGCGCCGGAAAAAACAGCAACCCCCCGCGCGATCGATTGAAATCTGTCGCTTCGAAGAAATCGGGTCGTTGCGCCGATTATCAGGACGCGTGTGCGATATGTGTGTACCGCCTTTTTTCAGTATACACGTTTGCTCACAGACTTGGCTGTAAATTGTTTCGCGCCAACGGAGGATGATTCATGGGCGATCGAGCTTCGAGAGGGCATCCGGTATAAAGCTAATTTTCTCGCATTAATGTTGATTTTTACCGCTCCATTGCATCCACCGCCGCAGCGACACTCTGTAAAACCATATTTTTCTTTCCTCGAGTGCTTTCGTTATGAAATTTTTTTCGCGCGAGGGCAAAAAAACGATACGGCTTCATTGCTTATTTTTCTCTCGAGTATACAATAATCATTAAACCAAAATTTAATGGATTTTCAAAAATAAAATGTAAAATTTTTTATAAATCGATGAAATGTAAGCGCGCGCGGGAAGCGGGAAAATGCCGAGTATCGATATAATCGTCGAGGGCTTATAGAGAGAGAGAGAGAGTGAGAGAAGGTTTAATACCGAGGGGCTGGCGCAGGCACGCACATAGCTGCCGAGGCCATTAGTGATAAACGACACTTACTACCAGCCCTCGAGCTTCAGCTGTTCTCCGCGCTGCTATATACGTATATATAGGTAGCAGTAGCCCGTCTGGCTGCTCTATAGGGCCGTACCACTGGCACATCGTCGAGGCGCGAGTTTTCGAGCCTTTATTTGCACGTCGATGTGTCTTTAGCCTCTTGCATAAAGTATAATGTAAACGAGCTTGAGTCCTCGTGAGGTGAGATCGAGCCGCATATATATATATATTTCGGTATATATACGGATATATAAAATATGCCGATTGAAGAGGCCATTTACCGAGCTTTATCCCATGAATGATTTTCGCGCGACACGCCTCGTCTTAATGAGCGGCGCTCTCCTGCATATACGAATCTCGAGCTCACCTCAATGAATCCTGACTCGACCTTATATATTCTCGATTCGGAGTGGAAAGAAAAATAAATTGATAATCGTCCGATCGATAGCGATACAGCCAGCCTGTCCTCGGCGAGAGGGCGAAAAAATTGTATCGCGGTCGCTCGTCGCACGATTTCAATCAAGACGATAATTTCATTGTGTATTTAAATTTTGTGTGCGAAGGTATTAAATAATAAATTCGAATACGTAAAAAAAAAAAAAAACAAATTTTCTGCGAATAGATGCACAACGCAAAGATTGCGAGGGATGGAGATACATATTCGCTGAAATTCGTCCTGCATCCTCGACGCGCTTATACGTGAGGAAGAGAGGGAGAGAGGAAAAACCGAATTGAAACTCGTTCGATGTCAACCGGCCAAAGTGTAGTCGCGTTGCCTTGGCCAAAATATATGTTGAACAATTATATACAGCATGGGAAAATAAGAATTATTTTACATTGTTGATATTACATTTATAATTGCAACGTACTGCCAATCTGTGATGCGAACTTTCAGTACAACTTAGTTGTCGAGTTATTACCTTATTCTCAACAGTACATGATACATCGTTAAAAATGTTTTTATACAAAATATAAATATAAAATATATATGTAAATGTATATTGTAAGCGAAGTATTTACTTAATTATATATACTTGGTGTATGTATTGCAGCTCGTGAACAACTGTGAATGCGTATTCTAAAAAAATCATTATACACTACATATTGAACGAGTTTCAGCTCAAACGCCGATGAGAATATAAGCCGTGAGGATCCGATCTGTGTGTGACAATTGCGTGATGGAACATATACATAATATTTATAAAATATATAGGAAGAATGAGAAAAAACAAGCTCGCGTACGAGTCATCGTCTTATTAAGAAAAAGAAACGACGCAAACATTTGATAATCGCGGTAGCACAGGGACGAGTAAACTATAAAAGTTATTAAAGTCGATAATTGAAAGGAACGAATAATCGTCTGTACATAAATTAGCTTTTTAAGTAATTACGATGACACGCGCGCATACACGGCGTACGTGTCATCCATATAATGCGAACGAACATCCGTAATTGTGGACAATTGTAAATGATGATAAGGAGCAAACAATAATAAATAGTAATAAATCGTCCGCGCGTGGGAGAATTTTGACAAAAAAAAAAAAACAAGAAGTAAAAGCGCTGCGTTTGACCGCCTGTGCTAACCAAACTGCCCGTGGGTGACGTTTCGTTGGACTTTAACAAACAAAAAATAATACCATTCAACTTATCACAATGATTTTTAAATGTGTAAATATAAAAATGTTCAACTTTTTTTACCGCATCTCTACCTTCGAACACGACTGTGTCAGCGCACAATTACCGGAGCGTATGTATGAAAATGTTATATAGGCTCACTAATAATTGCGATGTAAAAATTCGAGCGACAAAAACGTCTCCTGCACTGGTCAGTCACACGTGCAAGCACATTACGTCGTACCGTATAAATCATCATCATGTCACTAGATATAATGATAAAATGCAAGCACGTAAAATCATTAACTGCCTATACGTATATGAAATTCTTGATTAACACACAAAGCCCGTTATTAAGTATATTTACATCTGTAGTTAGGAGAACAAAAAAAAAACGATTGTAATAATGATGACTGAATTACTATTTTGATTGAGACAAACGAGCGCGATATGGCACTTTCCCTTTAACGAATCGTTCGATCGACACGATTACAATTAATAATATCGCGTTGATCCTGCGACACATTTTAAAGCTACTTGATAAAAAATTTCAAGGTATAAACGAGTAAATTAATCTTCTTTTATGCGAAGAAAAAATAATTGAAAGAGTGACGTGAACATGACCCAATCATTAAATTATGTCGACGTTGCTCTTTCAATGGGCATGGTCAAGAACTGACACGAACAGTCGATTGTAAGCAAAATTGCATTTCTCAACTAGTGTTAATCGAATTAACGTCGTGGAAATTCTAAAAACGCAGTGTTTTTGGAATTCCACGAGCAATCAAAGCTTTAAAAAACATTGGTAAGAGAAGCGAATGAACGTTAGATTTGTCGGTTTGTCGCGTAAAAAGTAAACATAGTTCACAGTGGATAAATTTATATGCAAACCTTTTCCCAAGAACCAATAAATTTCAATAGCGAAAGGCACGAAAATCCTCGACTTGATCCAATTAACTCGAATGAAGAGCTTTCGAGGACGTGAAAAAAAGGCGTTGGAAAACAAAAAAAAAAGGTTCTCGGGAAGACGCAAAGGCACAAAGTTTTAGAAAAAAGGGAAAAAAGATGGAAAAAGGCTCGAAGAGTAGAGAGAGAATTTTTCGTGCATGTGCGCGCGCGTGTACGCTTGTTCGTCCCGTCCGTCCTTCAGGAAGCAAAAGATAAAGCAACAAGCCACATAGGAGCAAGCTAAATACAAAAGTATGCAGCAGCGTGTGCGCGTCGTCGAGACTTTTTTGTTGAAGTATTATAAATTGTGCATGCCCATTTGCATTTGCACTCCATGCCACCCCCTTCCTCCACGCACTATCCTGTCTCCGTCTACTTTACCCTCCTCACTCCCTACAGGTATATGTATACAGTAACACAGCAGCAGTCATCCTCTTTTGAATTGAATATAGCGTACAACTCGGCACTCTCTTAGCTTTTTTTCGGAAAAACTTGATGTGTAGAGGAAAGCACATTTGAAAGTATAACGACGGCACTTTTTTAGCTTGAGGTGAAAATTTGTGCAATGGCACTGAATTATTTCAGCCGTGGACGTGACACTGCTGCTGCTTATACTGCTGCGGCTGTTTGAAATATATCGCGTATAATTTCAAATGATTATGCACCTATTGTACAAAGAAAAAAAAAGCTCCGAACGATTTCTATGCAGCTTCTCCGATGCACGACATGCACGCGTTACACAACACGAATCAGCTGGAGAGGAGAGAAGTATGATCATTATAAATATATTATTATACGTAAATGACTAAAATAAATATTATATACATACGATTACGAAGTAGCGACGTTTTGGCGCAAACGCATACGAAATATACGATTGCGTCGAGGCGAAGTCGACGAAAAAAAAAATTAAAAGCTTTCAATGATCTGTATAATATATCTCAACGATATATAATAATACGCGAAGTTCGAGCGCTTGACGATTGTCACATAGTTGAATAATAATTAACTCCATTTTTTCGGTGATAATCAAGCACTCGTGTGAACGATGGCTCTGCTGAAAATAGCTCTGATTTTCATGCATTTCGGACAGTGTCGACGATTATCTCCGAAATTTAAATGGACCGCAGAATTACAAGGAAAAATCTCTTTGTCGAGCGAGCGAACGAACAAGAAACACCTCAACAAGAAATTGCACTGTAAACAAAAGAATACATAAAAGCCTTGTCTCGCAGATTCTTCGGCTTAGGATCTGCGAAATGACGCGATTAATTATACAAAGAAACGAGGTGTGTCCATAAAAAACGAAAGCGAATGAGCATGTAAACTTAATGATAAATAGCCATTAAAACGAAATAAACGAAACAAAACGTATTTATTGAAAGAATGAATTGTGCTTGCAGGTGTGAAGATATTTAGATTTAGTCGCGTGAACGTGATCAAGAGGACGAATGTAAATGTTAAATAATATGATAAAGATATGTATTAAGACGGACTTGAGGAAAAAATGATCATATAAGCAGAAACTTTTGCAATCTAAAATAAAAAAAATGAATAAAATTGGTCGGGATCGAAGAGCAAAGGGTGGCTAACATCATCAATTTTATCTCGAATATGCATGAAAAAAAGTGCGTGTATTCATTTTTTACTGAAAAAAAATAATACATTTTAGGAAAAAAAATCTTCTTCTGCTCTCAAGCTATTGCATAGTAAGAGAGGAAGAGAGGACGAAAAAGAGAAAGAGAGAGAGAGAGAGAAAGCTAGCGAAAGCACTCGATGTAATTTTTCCGAGGAAGGAGTATTATACGTTGCGCGTAAAAGCTTTTTACTCGTCTGACAGCGTGAGCACGAGGCAGCAGCGAGTATGAAATGTACGGGGCTAGCGCATCGTTGTTGTGGGTGTGCGTGTGTCTGTATGCGTCGCTGTGTTATTCTTCTACTTCCTTTTTACACGTGTGCGTGCATCATCGCCGACGTGAGACACATTACGATGTTCCTTTTTTCCATTCGGAATTACGTTACACGAGGATGTGTGTGTGTAAGAGTGCGTGTAAGAGCATGAACAAATGAGATTATATTCGGGACGATAACGTTTGAGTTTGGGAACCAACAAGGAGCATCGCGACGCGTGATTTTTCGCTGTAAAGCTGCTTAATTGATAAACTTCGAGTTCTTTTTTCATTTTACTCGTTTACTTTGGATTTTTTATATAGAATACAAGTTGCGGTACGTAACGTACCTCGACATCTCTCCTTCTTGGTCCCTGAATTTTATTTCAAATATTGGAATACTACGAGCAATCGTCCTCAATTTTATGTATGTAATAACAAACATAAAGCTTCAATGAAAATGATAAAAAAACAATTATACCATGAACTTATGGGATACGAAATAAAAAAGTAAACCAAACTGTTTATGAAAAAAAATTTGTTTTGTAAATTCCAAGATAAAATATATCTATGTGGCGCATACAAAAATATTCTCAATAAATATTAAGTACAACAGTCGTCAACACTCGCTTGGTAAGGTCACCACTGTACTAATTTAAAATTAATTAACTAACTTCAATCACTACATGAGATATTTTAAAAACTACCAATTTTTTCGCATTTTCATTCAACTTTTTTCTGACTTTCTCTTTCTTTAGCACAACGATTGATAATATTATCAAAATGATATCGATAAAAGGCACTGATGAGCTTCAACGGTCCCATGAACTGTGCTTGAAGCAACAACTCGTAAAGCGAGCTGTACGGGGACATGCCGGAGCACAGAGTTGTCAAAATAAAGCTCTCAACTCCGACAATCGAGAAAAATTTCTCAGCCTAAAGTATAGAAAAAAGTCATCGATTAAAATGGCGAAAAAGAATTAAGAGCAATGAATTTTATTTTACACTCACCATAGCGTCTTTGTACATTTGCTGAGCAACGACTTCTGGTTGTACGAGAGAGGCACTTTCGGATATTAGTTTAGTTTCCAATGGTTTGGATTCTTGCTCGACCGCGAATCCAGGGGTGTCAGTATCCGGTGGCAGCGCCAAGGTAACCGATACGTTGTAAGGCTTTAACTCCATCGACAAACTCTCGGCTAATCCTCTCACTGCAAATTTGCTCGCGCAGTAGGCGGAATACCCGTATATTCCTGTAAAATTACAAAGCGAAAATTGGCATTGACTATGCTACTTTACAAACACATTGTGCAAAATTGCTCTCTCTCTCTCTCTTCCTTCTTACCCAGTAATGAAGCTTGCGATCCAACTAAAATGATCTTTCCCTCCTTGGCCGTTTTCATACCCGGAACTATGGCTTTTACGCAATTGTAAGAGCCGACGAGATTGACGTCGAGCATGTGCTTGAGCGTCATCTCGGCGGTATCCTCGATTTTGCCGCACACCGCATTGCCGGCGCAATTGACGAGCATGTAGCACTGGCCCAGGCGAGCCTCGTGGTCCGCGAAGGCCGTTGCGACTGCGATGGCGGATCGGGCGACGTCCAACGACAGACACTCGATCTTTTGATCTTTGCGGTTCTTGCAGTGTTGAATAATTTCATCGTAGGCCAGTTTCAAGCGCTCGTTGTCGCGACCGACGATGGTGATATTGGCCCCGCGACGGGCTACCTCCATGGCAAAACATTTTCCAATTCCCGAAGAGCCTCCTGTAATCTGAGTAAATCGAAAGGATTAAAAATCGACTATGCTACGAGTAGAGTAAATTTTTGTAGTAGTAAATTTTAAAAATCAAATGCAAAATAAAATCATTTATTATTCTTTCACAATAGATGAAACAAATTAATTCATCGTAAGGAAAAATTTTGATCTGTAATTTAAAAGGCCAGTTGAGGTTGCTCTAGCAAGTGGCGTCAGATGGTAACTAAACAACGAGACAGCCGCTGTCTGTTACCGGTTACTGATAGATAACCTTAAAAATGCTCTGAAATTTCTGACTGTATTTCAGGTTTGTTTTTATTGTTCCAACAGTTATTTTCAACGATAAATCAAAGCATAGAGAGTCGCTTTTAATCGATGTACAAGAAAATTGCCCAAAACAACTTACAATTACGTGTTTTCCATGAAGCGCTCCATTTTCGTGTCTGTTTACGTTGCTCTGACTGGCCTTCCAGTAGTTCTTGATTCGTTGATAAACGTAAGCACCATTAGTTATGAGAGCCGTAACTATAATTAAATCGTAGTATCCGAGAATAGCGTTCTGCAGCATGCGGAAGACCCAAGCGAAACCGATCCAAAACGTCGCAAACATGTTTGCTGCAGTGAACTCTTTGACTAGGCAACGAATACAAAACTATCGACACTGATCGCCGCAGGTATATATACAGGGCGAGGCTTTTCTACGTGACTATATAGATCTACGCCGAGCATACAACGAGTGGCATTTTGCAAGTTATTTACACGTCGAGACAGGCGCGTGGGAGTCTATCGGCCCACGGAACTTTGAATGAATCAATGTTATTTCGATAAGCAGTGTGTGTATAGTAAGGCACGGTTCGCGTTGGCGCTCGTTTGCGTCGTCGAGTGCATTGGCTCCACGCGGCGGACTGCGGAGTGACTGCTGTCTGCTGCTCCGAACTCGCGTATATTCACGGTAGGTGGAGCACGAATCTACCGATGCGACGGTGGGTAAAATTCGAGCGAGCTGGGACGTGTTCGGTGCTGCCAATCTCCGGAGTCAACCTCGACGGTCACAATGTCAACCGTCCAAGCAACGAGCGCACATTTTAAAATTCAAACGCCTGGTCGGCTCTGTAACAGCTCCCCTTCTGGACTTTGGACTCGAACGAATTCGAACGTTATTAACATAATTCGCTCTGGGCGATATTCATAATTAACGAGGGTCTAAATTAGCTTTGCTGTTTTCTTACGTTACAGAGTATTCTATGAGGACCTTGAGATCGGAAACTTTTGTAAAGAGCTTAAAAAAATATTGACACTAATATGTACACGGAGCCGAGGGCAGCAGTAGTAGTAGCAGCAGCAGCAGCGGTAGCAAAGAACAAGCAGCAGGATGTATAATTCTCGGCAGGCGGATTGTTCTTTGGCAAAAGTGTGTATAGCATCGAGAGAAATTCATCTCGTTTGATTTATGAAAAGCAAAAGAGACGCGACGGTTACCGGGAGGAGAGAGAGAAATATTTGAGAATAGAGAGAGGGAGCGACACTCGCATTCGAATACGCGCATACGCACTTGTAAATAGGTATTATGCCGTAAATTCAATCGTTACAATGGCACATACGGAGAGAAGTGCGCGACGCCTCGACAATGCAGCAGCAGCAGCGTGTGTATGTGTGTGTATGTAAGTGCGCGCGTTCGTATGCGTGTGTTTGTGCTCGGTGCGAGGCGAACCGGCGCGCGCGGCAGCTGCCACCGCTCTCGTTTTCGCTTTTTTTTCCTTCTTTTTTCCCTCTCGCTCTGTTCCTTCGCGATTCTCCGCGCCGCTATACGTATTTTATTTTGAATATTATATACCTATTCGTCGCGTCTATAGGCCATACACACGTACGTATACACACGCACACACGTACACGCGAGATCACGCGAGTAAGCCGAGACAGACGAAAAAAAGAGAAAAGAGAAGACACAGCGGCGAGGAAACCGACGATTTTTATTTTCAAGCCGGAAATGGACAAATTGACCCATCTTTTGTACGCTGACTACTCGTATTTACTAACATCTTCGCCGAAAACAACTCCGAAAAAATACATTTTCAAATTTTTATTAATTTTATCCAATTTGCAATCGTAAGGTTCACTTGTAGTATCAATTACGCCAAATTCAGGCTTATAGAAGCAACTAAATGTCATTGTCCATCTCGCATCGAATCCAAAATGCAACGAAGGTAAGAAAATTGACAAGTAAATTGCGTTCCAAGGAGGCTACAGCATTACAAACTCGATTGCAGTCGAAAATTCAAAGTCCACGACGGGACAATGAAGAATGGTCGATTTACAGGTTTGCTCTCTTGGTTCACATATATTTCAAGTAAACTGGCACGCGCGTTTAAGCCCGACTGCGACGTACGTATGCATGTAAACTGGCGGGCAAACATCGACAAGGTTTACATAATAAAGCTTCGGAGGGCAGGTGTCGCACGGCGTCCGAAGCTGCTCGAAAATTCTTGCCGCAGATGCACTTGATCCTCTCTCTGTCTGTGCACGGGCCAGAAACGTTTTCCCTGCGTAGTACACACTGCATTCGAGAGAGCCAGTGGCATATATGAGTTTGGAGCGCGCCGCACGAAAGGGACGAGGAAAGTTAGTTTTCGGACGAGTTCGTGGGTCGTCGTCGGCTCTCTCTTGGCCGGGCAGTTTGCGGATAGCCGGACAATGCAAATTACTGCCACGCAGCGATCCGGCCAAGAATGTCGATCTGCGAATCCAACTGCAGGGCTCTAGGAATGCCGCTAAATATCTGCGAGCGGTCGTCGCAATTCGAATTCGCCCCGGTAAAGGCCGTGCATTTTTCAGATAACCATCGGCTTGGCTCTGCGTTTACGACTGATACATAATTCACACCTTATGAATGCGGCGCACGAGCCGCGCATAATTCGGAAAACGTCGCTGCAGCCGAGGTAGCGAGTGAACGGGCGCCGAAACTCGAGAAATACGCGTATAATAATATAAAAACGTTCGCTTTCGTCATCTTGTCTTATTACTCGCGCGCACAACTCTATACACGGGTGCACATGTATACAGAGAGAGGCACAAAAGGCGTAGTTCTCAAGCCAGGTGGTAACCTAGTATTTTTTGCCCTTCGCGCGGACTCGTACAGCTGCACTCGTCGGCTACCACTACCTTCCCCATTGTCAACCGGTAGTTTTCAAGAGTATGCCAGCGAGCTCGCTCGTATAGCATACTGCTAAGCTTATTCATACACGCACACAACGCGAAACGACAAAGCGACTACGAGAACGAAGGCCAAGTCTCGAGCGATCTACCGATCCGATGCTCCTCCGTATGTATACTTGCTGCCTAGGCCAAGTTTAGTTACCAGGAAACATCTTTACGCAAAAACTACCTTTCGTATTCTTTTAAATTTTTATAATCTTTAATTTGATGGTGTACGTAGTTTGTCCTTCGCACGTTAATCGGTTACGGTTACACTTTGTAACGGACATTCGAGTATCAGCGATCGTTATTAGCCAACTTTATGCAGATACGAGTTTTTCATGGGGTTAAAAAAATTTTCCCTGCGACGCGACCTACCTGAAAAGTCACACATTCCCCGAGCATAGTAATAACTAGGGCAGCCCGCTCTTTTAGACTTTTAAAGCAACTCTCCCCTTCAGCTAGGACAGCTCTATATACGAGGGTCGTTTTGTGCCATAAAATTCTCCGCTGCGCTAATATAACGATCTTCGCCCGTGCAGATGAAACGCCCATCATGGCCAAGCTCAAAAAGCATTCCAAAAGTCGAATTTCGTTCAATTTTTCCTTATAGGCTTCTAAACGCAATTGATCGATAGATCGACGCGGAGCTCGTGCAACGTTACATTGATTCTGTCTGGCTACGCTTCGCTAAGCTACTATTCACTTTTGTACAATGATACAATTTTCTATAACATGTTGTTCGCTGCAGCGATAAGTTCAAGCAACTGCTCTTTACTATTCAGAATTCTTGATTAAATGGGATTTTTTTCTTGAAATGCCAACTTACGATGCTCTTCTTATAGCTCTTTGCACTTGTACGATTTCTCGTCGAAAACCAAACTCATTTCAAATCATTGCACATTTTAATCATTTTCTCGTATAGATTCAAACTGTCGGTGCATTGCAACTCGTTTCATTTCCTTATAACATATCGAATCGCTGCGAATACAAACTTTTCAGCTTTACCACGCACTTTTCTTTCCACCAGCCAAAAAAGTTGTTTTTTTTTGTCGTTGTTGTTCGCAACCTACTTTACGCGTATTGGCTTTGTGCGCCGATTTCCGGCCGATTTCTGGGTAAATAATACTCAAACATGCGAATGCATCTCGGAAGAGGAAGTCAAACCGAGTGTGTGTGTGTGTGTGTGTGTGTAGGCCATATCGGCTGTGCTGGACGCGCAACGATATGCAGCCGCACGATTCATCGCGTGGTAATTCGTGAAAAAGCCCTCCACGATCGCGCACACGCGGCTCGCTGCTTCTCGCGTTACCCGAGCTCATTCATATTCTGTTTTATCTGCTCTAATATGTATGGTTTCCCTGTCACGCTCGATTCGGACGATCGGACGTAGGAATCCAATGACTATCGGGCTGCCGAACACTTTGTATGTACATACACGCGTATCACTAATTTTGTTACGGCGCGACTCGAAATTTTTCCAACGTATTAACTATATCGTCGCGTAAACGCGCCTCGCGTTCACGCTCTTATGCTTTGCTTGCGCAACGAGAGAATCTCGATAATCGTTCGAATGAAATTTATAGAATGCGTAGGAAGAATCTGCCTCGTTTTTCTCGGCTTTTTCCATTTCACACGCAATGAGAGAGAGAGACGAGAGTCCTTAGAGTCGCGGCAGATGCTCCAAGGAGCTGTATAAACGCACCAAAGAAAAGGTATATAGAAGACAGGCGCTTTTGAGTCTGCACAGCACACGGTGTGTAGCAGCGGCGCACGAGAACGTGTATTTGTAAGATGCAGTCTTAGCGTATATATATGTGTGTGTGTGTACTCGCTTGGTCGGGCCAATTATAGACAGATTCCCGCGATCGATTAGAGAGAGAAAGTCTGGGCTTTTGTGCCAAAAAGAAGACGAAAGAACCATCTCGAAGGGCGCCCGAAAATTCCTTCCTATACACTCACGTTTGTTCTTGTGCTCCTCTACTTCTTCTTCTTCGTCTTCTTCTTCATCCTCTCCGCAGTACATACAAACGTTAAAACGAAGATGTTGCCATGTTCGTTCGATTCTCTCTCTCTTTGTCTGCTGTGTAACACACCGACGACTAAGTATTTCGTATCGAGGATTTTCGAGACATACTGTAAGATATAAAATTGAGCGATTATTATCGATGATAAAATGTTAAATCCCTAATCTTCACTGTAATGGATGAACATTTTCTGCCGTGTTGACAAAATAGAGAAAATGTTCATTTACTTATCTAGGATTGTGAAGCGATATAAATATAACAGAACACTATGTTGTACTAGTAAATTTTAAAACTCCAAAATTTTAGTTTTTCACTTAATCTCATCTGTTTCCGTGAGCCTCTTTCGTGTTCTTTGCCTGTGAATTTTTTTCTTTTGCGTTTCTAGCATTCCATATTTTTCAAAAACGCGTTCATGTATCCTAATATTCAGAGCTAACCAATTGAGCTATACAGAGCCCAGGTGGTGTACACTTTTTCAGATCATCGAAGTTAACAATCGCAACGTCGAGTGAGACGATCAGATCCATGAATTGCTCATAATCCGTGGTGTTATGATGGATATTACGAAAAATAACGTAAAATGAAAAAAGGCGATTTGTTCTAAAAAAGCGTTCACCACCTGGTCGTTAAACGGTTGTTTTTTGTTCTCCGTACTTTATTTTTCGATAAACCTTTTAATTAACAGAGACACTATCAAGAAACTATAACACAACTGTTCATGGCAGCAATAGTTTTGCCCATTATCAATTTTTCCAAAATCTTCGAATTTTAGTTTTGAAAATCGAATGGAAATTAAATTAATTACTTGCACGAAATGGCATAAACTATGTATCATTTTATCAGAAAAAAATGTCTATCGTGAAAATCGCCAAATAATAAAAATGCAGAATAGTAATTACAAAACTTGTCTCAAAATTGATGATGAAATGAAATTCATAACATTTTCTATAATTAAACCTTGTCATTTCCAATAATAGAAGAATATAAACAAAATATTAATCTGAAGATTGTTATCGCTGAACTGCCACTTGACAATAACAAGTAAAGATGCAAGATTGCTTCTAGCAACGCCTGGCTACTCTTGGTTACCGTCCATGTTTATCTTTTGTTTTCCGACATTGGCAAGTGCTTTGCAAGTAACATAAAATTAATGAATGTGCCGGAGACTTTCATCAGTGCACGATAATTATCTCGGTTCAATTTTGCATGTTTGATTTATGATTTCTTAATACAATAATTGTTCTCTTTATTTTGTGAATATATTTGGCTGATAGTTCAAGTATTGAATTTAACAGGAATCGAATTTTGATTTGATGGCAGCATAAAAGTAAACAATCACGAAGAAAATATTTTTTAGGTCCTTTTTCAAATGTCATATAAGTACGGTTTACACTTTAAGGCTTTGTGCTGCGATGGTTAATTTATATACATTTCGGAAAATTTAACAACTAAATGTGATTTATAGCACAATTTCATACTAGTATCCTAGTTTGAAAATATTTTTTTGCACAAAAAATATATATAAGGGTTTAAATCTATATCTAATATAGTTACGACCAATGGTTAATTAGATGAAATAATTTTTTAGCAAGTAGTTTTGAGTTTCAATCATAAACTTTGAAGATCGTTGAATCAAGAGTGTGATTGTAAAATTAAAAGCTAGAATCGACGAAGAATGCAAGATGGAATGACTTTTCTAGTTGGGGTTTGAAATTGCAGAAGGGCTGAGCTCGCTCGATATTTGCAGCATCTCGCCTCCGTAGCGCTGGAACAATTCTGCAGCACTGGCAGCTAGTGCAGCAGCAGCTGCGCAACCCCTTGGCAAAGCCGTATACATGGATACGTAACGTTACTCGTCATCGTAGCCGTAAGAATCGGTCAGAGTTTCCCCTCGCTCAGTTTCCGGCTTGGCTGCACGACGGAGCATCGCAGTACATACGGCGGCGGGCTCGAAACAGACATATATCGCGCTGCAGCGCAGCTATGGCAGTGGCTGGCTGTACCACGTGACTGCGTCAGAAGCCGCCGATGGGGCACTCGCCGGTAACCGCTCTCGGCTCGTATAGTCAAGCTGCCCGAAGCTGCCCCCTCCACGCGACATCTGCTGCGCTGCTCGCCATACTTGGCACGCACACACATACAGGCAGGCACATCTCTCATCTCTTTCTCTCTCCGTCTCTCTCTCGCTTTCTGTAGGCTACATAGACTGGTCGGGCCATGCGCGAGAGGGGAATGCTCCTCGCTGTACTTGCCGGTGTGTGTGGTGTATGTGGTGTGTGTGCGCCGACTACGACGAGCGCTTCTGCGCTGGCGGGGCGACGACTCTACACTCCGCGCTCGAGCCGTTGCTATACACCAGCGCGAAAACTGGCACTTTAGTAAAGACTTAGTCGTAGCGGCAGACAAGCAGCGAGTGGGTTGCTGGCGCGTCAACGTGTGATCGCCGTTAACAGTTAACGTTAAATATATATATATTTATGTATATATATATTTAATACATATAACAACACACAATTTATCACTACAAATGATATAAATTAACGAGCAGAAACAGCGCAAAATTATACGAGTTAATCGAGTTACTATACTGTTGTACTGCACAAGCGTGTGTTGCAGTGTGTCGGGTGTTTGTTTTCTACGTTCAACAAAAGTTTTCAACGTTTTCCCTCGAACGTATTACGCAGAGTTCGCAGAGAACCCCCCCAACGTTACGGAGTAGCAGCAGCATCAGCAACAATAAACGTGAAACCGAGAAGACGAGTTTTAAAGTGCATATATAAGTGACATTTTTCTCACAAGGTTTTCTCATCATTGGCTACTGATTCGTCGCTAGTCGAGCATCACTTTTCGAGAAGCAATACGTAAAATCGCAAACAGTATGCCGACTTCGTTGTTCAGCGACATGGAACGTGCGAGTAGTGCAGGCACGGGTGGTGTAGTGGCACCCAGTGCCAACGGTGGTTCCTCCCTCGAGGAGCAGCGAGCTCTGCAGCTGGCCTTCGAGCTGTCGATGCTGGGCCTAGATGCCAACGGCGCCGGCGGTGCTGGCTCGATGGTCGGCGCCAACGGTGCCGTCAGTGCCGGCGTCAACGGCCAAGCCGGCGTCGTGAACGGCTGCGGAGTCGGCGTGGGCGTCGATCCCAACGACCCCCTGGGCCAGGGACAGTCCGCCGGGGGTGTCTTCGAGGACGCTGCGCGCACCAAGAAGAGTCAAAACATGACGGAATGTGTGCCGGTACCCAGCAGTGAGCACGTGGCCGAGATCGTCGGCAGACAAGGTCAGTAACGTCTACCTTATACCATAGCATTTAAATTTGCACAGTCTTCGTTATGTGTGTGTGTCTCTCTCTTTTTCTCTGTCGCAACGGAGCCCATTGTTGAGAAAATACACGAGATAATATATTTCTTTTCGTCCATATGACTTTGAAGCGCGACAGTTGTTGTTATCAGAATTTGGCATTACTATACATACAGCCGCTCTGGCGTGAGCTCGCTGCGATATCACCCATGTGTAATCTTCAAAGTCGCTCTCCCATGTAAGCATGTAATTCTATGACTTTCCAAGATGCGTAATATTTTTAGGAGTCGGTCACGTAAGAGAACGTTATAATAGCTCTAGAGTACAGCGCTCATCTCGATCTGTGGAAGCCGGCTGCTGTGCACTCTTGCGATGACATGTAGCAACGAAATTCGAAACTTGATGTATCGTATCGAAGTATTCTCAGCCTGCAGGTTCATGTAAATTCCATGAAAAGTCAAATACTCTCGCGAGATCCAATATATATTTTCTCAAAAACTACGTGACGTTGAACTGGCGGTAGTAGTAGACATGACTCGAATCTCTTTTTGTCTCTTTCTCTCTCTCTTGCCGCCGCCGCGCGCTCGCTTGCTCCGTACTCCGTAAAGCACGACAGAAGTTGGCGCTCAAACAGTGACTAATCCGGGCTGTAAATATAAATGCTTCACGTGTGCGTACGCGAATTGTTGTAATCGATCGAAGCCGAACGCCTCATAGGCTCGCACACGCGTGTGTGAACCGGCTATTGTGCACGTACATGTATCACATATAATCCGTCCGTACGCATGATCGTGCCTCGATGACACTCCAGCTCGAAACGAGGTTATTAAGTATATCGCGCGTGGATCTTTCGTGAACCTCGTGTGTCTTAAGTCGAAAACGTAAATATTGCGCTCGTAACGAAAAATTTGCTTCTCTTGTTCGCGTAAGCGAGCTCTAATTGGTCATCGACACGAGCTGAATTTTAAAGATAACTCTTCGAGCTAAGACCGATAGCTCAGTTCGGTATAAGATCGATCATTCTGCGGCATTTAGAAATATGTAAGAGTTTTTGAGCGTACCCAAAACGACACGGTGAATCCCGAGCAGTTGTCCGGACGCACGAAAGTGTGTATACGTGGTGCACATGAATGTCTGGGTGATCGCGCGTCCACATACATGCGCACACTGACACGTACTCGCTGTAACGTGTATATAAGTTTGACGCGATATACTCTACACACTGTATCCGTCATAATAGTTGCTTTGCGCCTCTTCGGATTATTTCGAAACTGCGGCGCGCGTTACACGTGTGTGGCAGCTCTTTTTTCTCTCTTGGCTTTCTCAATTTTGAAATATCGTGTGCTCTATCGCTAATAGAATAGAGCGTACTTTTATCAACTTTGAGTAGACGTGCGTGAATTACGATTTACTTTTTTTTATTTTTTTTAGAGTTAAAAAATGATTTTTCAAGCGCGTTTATTCTTTTAAACTATTTCTCTAAAAAAATCGCGACTGCGCACATTCGCGAAAAAAATTATTCTCGAATTCCTCACTCGAGACGCAAGACGACGACATTGACCAGAGACAAACTGCTTACCGCGAAATAATCCTAACATTATATGCATGTGTGTATGTGTGTGTTTGTGCGTGTATAACGCAGTGTACAGCACGCGCTCGTACGGCCTTGAACTCGCGCGCGCGAGCGAACGAGCAAGAGAGAGAGAAGTGTATGTATACGGGCTGATACGAGAGAGCGAGACGGAGCGAGAACAACAAAAAAATCATCGCGGGATGTATATAAATATATATAATAAGTATTTGGCTGTCTTGAAGTTGTTATTATATGCGTTAAAAGAAAAAAGAGGAGTCAGAGAGAGAGAGAGAGAGAGAGAGAAGTCGGAAAATAAAATCACGACGAGCGGCAGCCATGTGGTCTCGCGCACTGCCGTACAATATGTATATACACATGCATTATTGCCGCGACGACATAAGATGGTTAAAAATGAAATTTATTCCAAGGTTCGCGAGCTCGCGCTTGAAAAGCAGCGTCATAGCGGAGTGCGTATGAAGTTGCGCCGAGCAGCGTTCCTCGATATACATTCAGCTATGGCGTTTACGCATTTTCCCAGAATCCGAAACTTGTAAATGCCAAACGAAAATATTGTTGTTACGAAGAAAAATTGACGAATTGCGTTGCGCAGGCCGATCTATCGAGTTCGCTCGAAAAATCTTCCAGAGAGAATAAAGGAATCTTCGCCCGTCCGATGGGTGTGCGCTCGTTCACCTGCTACTGCAGCAGTAGCTCTTGCATCCCGTCGAGACAGGTGCTCCTCGTTACACTCACGTATTTGACTCCGAATTCTGGCGGCCATACACGAAGACCAATAAGAACATGTGCGTGTGCCACGCCGAAGAATCGAAAGAGCGGGAGATGATAATGATGAAAGTCGAAATCATCAGACCGGTAACGTCACGCCGGCAGCAACAGCAGCAGCAGCAGCAGCAGATGGATCGAAGGCAATTTCGAGAGGCTTAATATGTTAAAATAATAAAGCAAGTCTGATAATGCTGCGAACGAGTTGATTGGCTTTAACGAGCATCCCTCAATTTTCTCATTAGTTTGTCATCCTTCTTTTTTTTAAGTTGATTCTTGTTATTTATAATGTATGACTATTGTCCGATTGTAATCTCTATAATCTACTCGATAAATACGCACGGTTCAGATGTTCATTTGTACGTTCGCAAATCAGCTGTTTTCGAGGACAAATAAGATTGTTGTCAAAATAAAACAAAAATTAAGCTCCGCAAACACGTTGGAACGCCGAGATTCCAGCGATTTTTATTTCTCAAAAATTTGCTCAAAAATGCACGTAATCTCGAAAGATATCGTGACGAAGGAAAAATCACTGGAGAGGAAAATTTTTCGAATGAAACTTGTAAAAAGTTCATATATTTATGTATTTACGTCAAGAGAGCAAGAGAAAGAAAGAGAAAAGCATAGACGTAGCTGCACAAGGGTGGGGGGAGGATTCCGGTTTTGGCTTTTTTCGCCTTATTCGCACCTTTTTCCTCACTCGCTATAAAGCTAAGTCTCTCTCTCTCTCTTTCGCTCTTCCTCTCTTGATAGCCCTGGAGAGGATAAACTCGGGGCCGCTCGTGTTCTGTACGATATATAGTCGAGTAATACATACGTATATACTGACTCACACATTCGCGAATGTGCATCGGTCTGTGTATATACATAATACTTTGTGTGTTGGAGGATCGTTGACCCTGTGCACGGCAATGACTACAGGTGATGCCAACAGAGTAAACGTATACTCGCATCTTAATGACTACATTTTTATATAGATGTTCATAAACACACAGACACTACTGGCTTTTCTCATTATTTTCCGGACTACCAACGACTGCTCCCGTGCTATATGATAGTCACTGTACTCTCGGGGGCTCACACGCTCGGCGCAACATTTAAATTTTGCCGCCTTCTCAATTACGAGCGCGCCGCGCTTGAATAGGTCGCGCGAGGCAGCATATTATCTATGTTTTGATTTTTGCTTTATGCCTTGCTCCGAGCTGTTACAGCGCGACGACCATAAGGTCTCGAACGACCCAAAGAGAGTTTAATAGTACCGAGCCGAGCTCAATCCAGCCAAGCTCTCTCTCTCTCTCTCTCTCTCGCATTGCATATAACAATTTTTTTATCGTGCTCCCTTTATTCTAACGGTGTCAATGTACGTTGGCTCATACAGCGTTATGTATGCATACGCAGATACGACGTATCAGAGCCGCGCCGACCTTACGCACGTGCACGCGAACCATACTCTGTCACAAATCGCTATAGAATAAAATTTTTTTTTTCGAAATCGAGCTTTGACGAGAGTAATCTAGCGGCGTGATTTCACATTTCCGCTCGACGTCGGCTCATCTTGCTTTTTTTTTCGCTTTTGAGGTCTTTTTTTCTAGCGATATTCATTAATCGAGAGCCCAAACATATGTTTTCTCATATTGCTGTGTATAAACGATGATTCAAAAAAGTTTTATATTTACTTATCCGACAGATGTTGGTACCTTGTTTGATTAGTTTCAATGATAGATCGTCCACTCCTCGACGGTTCTTGTCAAAATTAAATGATGGTCAAGGTCAAATACCGATCCTCGAGCTTCTGGAAAGCTTTGCGTAAGCCATGCTGTGTTCAATGGTTTGTTCGGTGCAGTTCAATTTAAACTCGAATTAAATATTGTCACGCGAATCCATGATTAATCATTCACTTGTCAATTGATCAAACGATTGCTTAAAATTAATTATATTTAACGAGAAGAATCATCGGTAGTCGCAGTATTCGCTCAATGATCGAGACGTTGCAACGTTTACACACACACAGACACATACGCGCAGGCAAATTATATATAGACGCGTGCGTGCATGTTATTGTCGCGGCCGATAATATGATACTAGTCGCGCATGTACGTTTACGTATACATGTCTATTCATGCAGTCTCACCTACACAGTCGACTATGAGGTTGCAGTAGTGGCTGTTGCTGGTGGTTGTATGGTTTCAAACTTCTTGCATCGGTGACGACTAATTTTATCGATACACAAGAGGTGTATGCGTACATAATGCCATCTACAACGATGTGCTGTGCACGCGACTTTACACGCATACATGCATCGCACGATGAAGTTGTTTCGGCATTATTCGACGTACGCTCGATGTCGAGCCCGCGGCATACTCTGTCTTTGTATGAGCCGCGTGACAAGCCGTTTGCGCGCGGTTAGCCTTTGTTAATCGCTAACTACCATCGAAATTTTAGGCTCGCGCGTTAACTAGATCCGCCTTCGGAGCGCAGCGCGAACAAAGATTTCGTGTTAAAAAGCTCGATGCGCGTATGCAGTAGGGTCACTGCTTTGTGCGTTGGCCTGCCTCTCGTGCGCGCTTGAAAACCAGTTCGACAATATGCTGCTGCTGCTACCAAGTCCCGTCTCGCGCGATGAA